CAGGCAGATCTTTGTGAGTTCAAGGCCAGCCTGGTCTACAGAGCTAGTTCCAGGATGGACAGGGCTGTTAACACAGAGAAACTCTGTGTCAAAAAACCCAAAAAGAAAAGAACAGTCTGGAGAGATAGCTCAGTAGTCAAGATCCTCTTCCAGAGGATCCAAGTTCAATTCCCAGCATCCACACAGTGGGTCACAAACATATGGTATACATACCTACAAGTAGGTAAATACTCAAACACATAAAAAAATAAGATCTTTAGTTAATTTAATTAAAATACAAATATAGCACACTAAAACTGTATATTGTCATTAATAATTTTAACAAACTGTATATTGTCATTAATAATTTTAAGTGTACTGAAAATAATTATTGGAAGAAGCAGATATAAGTGAAGTGACTTATAAATAAAATTCATCTTGGAACTGGATGCTCATTCTAGTTATGTGGGAGGCTGAGGCAAGAAGATCCTGAGTTCAATGACAGCCTAGACAACACTCCAACTCAAAACACAAACAAAAAATACATTTTGTAACTCAAAGTTAAATGCGGTATCTACTTCATCCATATTATTCATACACTATGTATGCATGGTAGTATTGTTATGCTCTGCAAATCTAGCCTAAGTATCTGCTACAACAGATAGATAACAAAGAAGGGAAATAATTAAGGGAAGGGCTACATTTCAGACACTAGACCTGCACAAAATAACACCATGTCTTTGCAAAGTATAATAATCAAAGGTAAGCTAGCAGGCTGGCACCTCAAGATTCTGGGCTCAGTCCCAAGCCCTTTTACCCCACAAAATATATATGATACCACATTGAAGTCTCTACTGACCAGCATATACTTCAAACACTATGTGACCAAGACTTCCTTTTATTATTTAATGTAAGTGAACATCACCTTCAGAGAGGTTTTTATTTAGTACACAGCTTACATATGTTCAATTTCTTTCTCTGTATCTTTGGAGCCTGTCCTAGAACTCGCTCTGTTGACCAGGCTGGCCTCGAACTCACAAGAGATCCACCTGCCTCTGCCTCCTGAGTTTAAGGGATTAAGGTGTGCACCACCACTGCCCATCGTGAACAGGAACTTCAAGTTCAAGTTTTCTCTTTCTTTCTTTCTTTCTTTCTTTCTTTCTTTCTTTCTTTCCCCCCCCCCTCTCTCTCTCTCTCTCTCTCTCTCTCTCTGCAGGTAGGGGTTTAAGACAGTATGGCTCAGGTTGACCTCAAACTTTTAATCCTTCTTCCTCAGAATCCCCAAATGCCAGGACTGCAGGCATGTGCAACCAAGTCAAATGCAAGTATTCTATTAGCCATTTTGCAGTTTATTTTGGCAAATATTTACTGATCTATATCAAGGGCTTGGGGATAGAAAGACAAACAAGACACAGCCTTGACATTTGTGAAAAATAGGCAATAAATATATAACAAGTAAATACAGTAATTTAGCATGCTGAAAATAAGATGATATACCTGCAGGTGTGGTGCTGAATGTCTTTAATACTAGCTCTCAAGAGGCAGAGGCAGGCAGATTGGTAGGTCAGGAATTGGAGGGAATTGGAGGTCAGCCTGGTAGACATAGCAAGCCCAGGCCTGTCAGGGCTATATGCTATACACAGTGAGACTCTACCTCATAAACAAACAAACAAACAAACAAACAAATAACCAGGTATAGTGGCCTACACCTTTAATCCCATCACTCAGAAGGCAGAGGCAAGTGTATCTCTGTTGTGAGTTTGAGGCCAACCTGGTATACACAGTGAGTTCCAGGGCAGCCAGAGCTCCAACAGTGAGATCTCATCTTGAAAAACTGAAAGAAAAAAGGAGGAGGAAAGATAGACTAGGATGAGAAAAGGCCTTCCTGAGAAAGGTTATATTTGAGAGGAGATCCACATGAGAAGGTGGCAGGATCTGAAGAAGCCCAAGAAGCAGGTAGTACAGGTGATACAGGCTCTTGGAGGGGCCACTGTACAAAAAACTTTAACTTTACTGCAAACAGTATATCACTGGAAGGCTAAAACGTAGAGGCATGAGTTGGGCATGGTGGCACACACACCTCTAATCCTTTAACACTTCATAAGCAGAAACAGGCCAGCCTGGTCTACAGAGCAAGTTCCAGGACTACAAAGAGATCCTGTCTTTATTAAAAAAAAAAAAAAATTGTAAAAGCATAATATCTGTTCATACCATAGAAAGATCACTTCAGAAAATAAGTACAGTGGTGAATAGCTACAAAACCAGCAACAGACTGCAGGTTGGAGACCAATATGGGCTACACACGGAATACCAAACCAGCCAGGGTAACCCAGACAGACAGAAGATAATAAATGTTATAGCTATGCCTAGATGAAATCAATGGAACCTGACTATGGAATACAACTTCAGGAAGCATGCTAGCTTATTAAAGTTTTTTCTTTCCAATGCATAAAAAGTCTGTTATTGTTACTACATATCGTAAGATTAAGGATACAATGAAAATATCTGAGGACTTGAGGTGTATGTAGTCCAGTGGTAGTGCTTGCACAGAATTCAGGAGGCCCTGAGTTAGATGCATCATAAAATGACAGAAAGAAAACATATCTTGAATATCTAGCACAGTCACTTAAACTTAACTGACCTCCAAATGACTAAATATTGATGTCAGAAGAAAAGGGAGATGAAAAAGCAGCATCAGGAAATGGACAGAGAGATTGAGAATGCCCAGTATCTACCTCACAATTTTACCTAAGCAAATTTAGCAACCACACTATGTCACGATGTACACAAAATTAAGTGAAAATCCAGACCTAATACACCAACTATTTGTGTCCTACTCTTTACCACTCAGGCTTTCTATGACAGATATCTTTCAAGTGTAAATACACATGCCCAAAAATTATTCTTAGTCATTTTAGAAAGTTAAATTCCACTCCACTATGAATTTGATAGCAAGTTGTAAAAAGCCAAACACATTTAACTTCTTTTAAATTATGTAGAATTCACTTTTTAGATAATTGCTCTCCTACTCTTAGTACCAACAAAGGAAATAAGCTCAGACACAAAACAGCAGCAGGGGCAGGAAAAATTCTGGTCTCACTGCTGACTAGGAAAAAAGAAAAGTGTTAACTGTCACTTGTGATCCCAGAAAGCAGAGATAGGGACCAACTTATTCTTGAAAATAATATAACCAAAGGGTTGAAGCACTAGAAACCAACAGTGGGGAATGTAAAAATGCTTCATAATTTAACCCAGGGTGGAAGATGTTCTAATCACATCGGCACTGCTTACTACTACTGAGGTACCAAATACATCAAACACTGTTTCAGAGTTAATGACAGATCCAAACCCTAACTACATCATTTTACTGAGTAACCTTCAGCAACCTGACATTTCTGAGTTCTTAGTTTCCTCATTTGTAATTCAATAGATTATAAAGTACATTATAAGGTTAAGGAAATGGCTGCCATGCAGCAGAGACTTAGTATGCGTGTCTTTGAAGGTGGCAGCATATTTGATATTGCAGATCTTAATTTTACCTCTTGGCAAGAAATAAATGAAAAGATCTGATATAGTAAGCAGAGATTACCTAATTCTGTCTTTTTTTTTTCTCGAGTATCTTTTGCAGCACTATATTTCAAAGAACCAGAGAACAACTGCCCCATCAATAACTTTTTGAAGTTTTATCCATTTGTTCACGATCAAGTAAACTAAAAAATATTACAGAAGCAAAGACAAATGGGCAGTAAGAAAACGGTTAGCACTGACAAGAGGCTATAAGGAGCCTTTACTCCCAGAACTCAGAGGCAGAGGCAGGTGGATCTCTCTGAGTTCGAGGCCAGCCTGATCTACAAACGAGTTCCAGGCTCCAAAGCTACACAGAGAAACCCTGTCTCGAAAAACCAAAAATAAATAAGTAAATAAGTAAATGAGTCTATAAGGATAGAAAGCAAACTAAAACTCAAATAAATATGTATGGAATTGGGATTAAGGCTGCTTGGGATTTACTATCTAGCCCAAACTGGCCTCAAACATGTGACAATCCTCCTGCCTCAGCCTCCAGAATGGCATGAGCCACCACGCCCAGTTTAGCAAACCATATTTTAGAAGACATCTTTTCTATATTAAAGAGGTGATGCGGGGAGAGTCCCACAGGTTGAAGGCAAAAACAATCAAAACCCGTATAGGGCGGGGGGTGGGGGGAGGTAAGTATTATACGCTAAAATAAATAATACTAAGAAATCTACACTTCCCGTTTTGATTGCCTATGCAAACAAACTCAATTCTGTAAAACGTCCTTCGGGTGATCAAAAGTGGTCGGATACATTCTATGCTTCGGTACCAAGGATAACACTGATAACAGTTTCTCAGTTGTGTGTCGTCGGTATTTCACTCTTGCAAACACAGGTAAAGGGAAAACAGGTGGTCGCCTCACAGCAACGTTAGAGCTCATACTGCTGCTTCACATTCAACCTCCTCAAAACGCAAGACAAGTTTTACACTTATTAATCAAGGGAAGGCCCCTTTTCATACACATCCCAAGTTTCACGTCGGCGGAAAAACGCGGAATGGTCCCACATAATCATCCGGCGAAGTGAACAGCTTAAACCACAGCTTGACGACTACTACCAGGAAACCCAGAAATCATTAACACGTCAAGGCCTATAAGGAATAAACGGACGCTACAATTTCCGTGGGGGTTCAGGAAAAAAAAAAAAAAAAACCAACAACACACCTTACAGGGCTCGGAAGGAAACACGTACATCTCTATGGGTCTAGGCCCAACGGCCCAAGGTCACGCCAAATGAGACGCTAAAAAAAAATTCCAAGCGACGAGCCCCCTGCAGACCAGGGCAACCCTGCCTAGCAATGGAGTCTGGGCTTGGGAACACCCGCGTCAGGGCTGTAATGGGAACCCCAAGTGGGTGCAGCGGCCCCGTGGGCAACCCCCCAGGGTATTTGGGGCCGCATTTCCTCCATCTCCCCGGCACCCCCCTTCCCGGTGGCCCCCCCACACTCACATCTCCGGAGCCACTTCATCCAATGGTAGACGATTGTGCTGTGGTGTTTCTTGTTCTCTATACACCAGGACGACAAGCCTTGAATGGATTCCATGGTGTTGGTCACCGACTGGAATTTTCGGTCCAACGAGGACTCCAGGGCCCCGGCGGACGAGGCCGACGAGGAGGAGGCCTTGCTGCTGCCTCCGCCGCCGCCGGCCGCCATCTTCCCGGTTTGCACAAGCTCCCCTCTGCCTCTGGCGGCGGCGGGG